CTCTAGGGGAAAGGTGTAGGCTTTGAACTAGATGATCACTGAGACTCTTCCTTGACCTAAAATTGTGGTTTTCTTGGAAGAGAAGAGTTCCCATTCTCAAGTCGCTAGAAATGCAGGTGGTTATCTCATTGGCTTTCCCAAAGAAACATTGGTTACGCCAAAGAAACAGTCAGGGACATAAGATGATATGACCTTTACATGGGTCAGAACTTTTCCATTGTTAGGGATAGAAACCCGATTCAAACTGGCTGAGGCAAATAAGGTGTTTATTCGCATCTACAAGTTGAAATTCCAGGGGTAGAGCCTCTCCTGGCAAGCTGGGTCTTAAGGCTCATGCGATGTAAGGGGGACCCAGTCTCTCTTTGTCTTCTGGGCTCCACTTTTTCCTGTATTGACTTCACTGTCAGTAGGTTCCCCCCACATGAAGACTCCAGCAGCACCACAATCACAGTGCTGGCTTCAAATTCAAGAGAAAAAAAGCTTATTCCCAAGAATTCTGGAATCTTCTTAAAACTGAATCTCATTGGTCTGGTCTAAGTCATTTGATGTTTCCTGAAACAGTCCCTATGTCTAGGGAAATAGAGTCAGATTAGCCACATCTGTGTCACAGCCCCATTCACCAATGGGGCTGGGGTGGGGATGGGGCCATCCCATCCAACCCACATGGGCTGAGTGGCAGAAAAGTAGATGTTAAAAGGAAACTCATGGGGCTATTGACAGAAGAAAGGAGACTGGATATAGGACGAGTAAAAATAATAGACATTTATTTCAGTTCTCATTAGGTTATGATTTTCTTATAGGTACTGTATTAATTTCCCATGGCTGCTGTAACAAATTACCACAAACTGGGTGGCCTAAAACAACAAAAATTTATTCTCTCACAATTCTAGAGACCCGAAGTCTGAAATCAAGGTTTTGACAGGGCCATATTCCCTCCGGAGGTTCTAGGGATGAATTCTTTCTTTGCCTCTTCCAGCTTCTGGTGGCCGTCAACATTCCTTGACTTGTGGCTGCATCACTCTAATCTCTGCCTCTGTGGTCACATTACCTCCTTCTCCTGTCCATTTCGAATCTCCCCTGCCTTTCTCCTCTAAAACTTGTCATTGAATTTAGGGCCCACTCGAATAATTTCCTCATTAAGATCCTTATTTTAATTGTATCTGCAAAGACCTTTTTCCAATAAGGTCACATATTTAGGTTTCAGAGTTTGACATTGACAGCTTTTTTGTGTGTGTGTGGGGGAAGGGGTTGTGTGCATTTTTTAGTCTACCACAGGTACCAAATCAGAAGCAAAATAATATTTAAGCAACTAAGTTCTCAAAATGTATGAAAGAATGAGAATCATTTTTAAATTTTACTGATATATTTTATCCACATACTTTGTTGCCTTTTTAAGAGGTAAAATAAAATTTGCTGCAGGAGAAAAACAAACAACTAAATTTCTGACTTGAATGCAAAGCTTACATATGAGGTTTTCATTTCAACATATTAAGCCTCCTGCCCTTTTCCGGGTAATTGTTGAACCACTATTTTTATTTGCATTTTCTAATCCTTTTTTTCATTTTCTATAGCGCCTTTGCTAAAATGTTTTCATTAGCAGTACAGTTAACCCTTGAACATCTTAGGTTTGAACTACATAGATCCACTTACACGGGGAATTTTTCTTTTCTTTTCTTTTTTCCAGATTTTACCGGGGGGGTTGGGGGAGGGGAACAGTGTTGGGGAATTGTGGAAGGGGACAAGCCAAGTTGTTGTTCTTCAATTTTAGTTGTGGAGGGCACCAGTCGCCATCTGGCTGCCCGTCGGCAGCTCATGGCCTCTAAGCTCAAGGTGCTGTGTTCAGTCTTATTTGTGGGTGGGCGTAGCCTCCATCCCATGCGGGAGTCAAACCAGCAGCCTTGTTGTTAAGAGTGCACACTATATCCACTGAGCCATCTGGGTGGCAGCTCAGCTTAAGGTGCCGAGTTCAATCTTAGTTGCGGGTGGGCATAGCCCACCATGGAACAGGCAATCTTGTTGTTACACCAGCTGAGCCATCCTGCCACCTGTTGGCAGCTCAGCGACAGCTCAGCTCAGGCACAATGTCACTGGCCCATGTGGGAATCGAACCGGCAGCCTAGTTGCTCAGAGTTCGCACTCTTAAGCCAACTCTTAATCAACTGAGCCACTGGGCCGGCCCCGATTTTTTCAATAAATACAAATAGTACTATAGATATATTTCCTTTTTCTTATGATTTTCTTAACATTTTTTTCTCTAGCTTACTTTATTGTAAGAATATAGTATATAATACCTATAACACACATAATATGTGTTAATCAACTGTTTATGTTATCGTTAAGTCTTTCAGTCAAGAGTAGGCTATTTGTATTATAGCTCAGTTTTGGGGAGTCAAAAGTTACATGTGGATTTTCAACTGCGTTGGTGCCTCTAACCCCCATGTTGTTTGAGGGTCAACTGTATTAATATTGATAATAATTCACAAACAAAAACTCAAATGGAAAAAGCCCACTAGCAAAACTACACTACAGAAAAATATTTTCAAGCCTGATTTCTTTTCTTATTTCAAATGAGTAAAAACGTTCACAATCTCAGCCACTGGCCTTTTCTTGACTAGGCAAGTGTTCCTAGGAACCCCAGGCTACATTTGAGATAAACAAGACAAAGATCTTGCAAAGAAATCAACAGGAGCCCCCTACTCCTCAAAGAAGACAGCAGTGGAATACATGTTTTCAAGCATATGTCATTTCGTCCCCTATTTCCACCCACATTCAGCTCAAGCAGCAGCTGCCCTTACTGGTTGCTCAGGTTGGACAGGGAGCACACTGGTTGCTGGTATTTTCCCTGGAGGCATCTTGGCAGCAATCCTGGGTTCAGATCCTCGGATATCACGGGCTGGGCAGGTGGCTCTGTGCTTTATCAGTGGCATGAGTCTTACAGGTGTTTCACAAGGCTGAGGACTGGCCGGGAGTCTGATCCCCTGACCCTCCCACTCTCCCCAATTCAGGAACTAGGGGGTGTAAATCCTTACCTGTGATTCTCAGGTGCGGCCCCGCTTTCTCTACTAGAAATCCGTAAGATCCGACAAGGGAGAAAGAGTCAGGTGCTATGGATTTCTGCTCTTCTACATCTGAAGAACTAACTCAGCTTACACCTGGCTCACAGGAATCAACCTGTGTACACATGGGCAGCATGAATTTCCTGTGTTCGAGGCAGAAAGATGAACTGGGAAGAGCTCTGGCCTGGAACACTGGTGGCAGAACCGCTCTGCCACCACCTTGCTCAGTGATCTTCACAAGTACCTTCCCTTCTTTGCCCCTCCGTTCCGCATTTAAACAAGAAGATTGGACCAGGTGGTCTCTGAGGCATCTTCCAGCTTCACCACCTATCAGATGTACACACATTACACCCCCCAGGCTGAACGTCTGGGATACCTGTGAGGCCCACTGGCTGCTGCTTTTTCCAGAAAGCTCTCTCCCCACACACCCTGATGTTGCTGATGGTTAAATTCAGCAGGCCGCTAAATGAGGTCCCAAAGTGCAGGATTGTGGTTAAAGAATTCTTCCCAGTTATGCCAGTATCAGTTATTCATCAAACATGAACTAGGTGCCTCAGGTAGGTACTGGGGCTTGACAGATGAGTGAGATGGAGGCCCTGCCCCGAGGAGCACACAGCCCAGTGAAGGAGACACATGAGTAAATCAAAGATTGCATTATGGCGTGATAAGCTCCACTAAAGGGTTATTAATAAGGCTGCCCGATATATGGATGATGGACATACAAATGTATCTGAGGTGGAGCCAAGAATAGCTTCCTGGAAGAGGTGACCCATGGGTGGACCCTGAAAGAAAAACCTGGGTGGAACAGGGATCAAATCTTTCAGAGTGCTCACAGTAAGGATACTTGCCAACTGCCATTGGGACACACTGCTTCCTCTAAAGACAGGTGTCTCTCCCACCGTCTATTCCCTTGGGTCTGACATATGGATTGGAACAGTGTGCACCTAATTGGAGCCCAAGGGGCAGGTCCTTGGGTAAGCTGGGAAAGCAGTCTGGAGCCCAACTTTGATACAGAGACTGGAAAATTGTGGGCTCCAGCAACACCATCCCTGATATACTAGTATTGAAAGCTTGCAACCTGTGTTCTGTGCACAGAGCACACACGCTCCTGTTTTTGTTTTTTCCCTTCCCTTTCCTTTTCCTATTCTGGTGCAAGTTAAGGGGAAGGCACATAAAGCTGTTGGTTTCCGAGTATGTTTCTAAGGTCTCCTCTGATTCTACTTAGTCATGGCAGGCTTCTTGGAGGAAGTGCTTGGGAAGAAAGGTAAGACCCAGCTTGACTAATGAGGCTGGCATCTTAGCAAGAGATTCCTAGGTCCCCTTCCTACTCACACCCATGCCACCACCCTTCCCTGCGTTTGACCTTTGTTCCTCTGCTAACCTCCCGCCAAGTAAAACCGGGTTTGACCACTTCCCCTTTTTCGTTCAGTGGCTGGACGTGTCCGTGAAGTTTGTGATTTAAAGCTTTCAGCCAAACTGGTTCTCCAGCGTCCTGTGCCTGGACTTCGGGACCTGCGGGCTGCCGCTCATTCTGGCTGTGAATTACACTGGGAGGCGGTGGCCTGGCTCCGCCTCTCGTCCTGCCGCAGGTTCAAGTGTGGGTTCGGAGCTAGGGTGGTAAGGCACCACCCCCGGCTCACACAGCGACCGAGCTTCCCTGCTCAGTCCGCCAGGCCGCCGGCCGCCGGGAGCAGGAAGGACCTGGCGCTGCCCTGAGCGGTCCAGGCTGGGAGGGTCCGAGCTCTCACCGCGGTGCTCGCCAGTCCCCAAGTTAACAACGCGTCCGAAGAGGAGTCGGGCTGGAGCAGGAGGCAGGTGGCTCCGGAGCTCGGACTGGGCGGCGCTGAGCACTCTCGGCCCCGCCAGGGTTAAGTCTTGCCGGCTCCCTGCTGCCCGGCTGGCGGCCAGCTGCCTTCAGGGAGAGGCCGGAGCCACTGCCAGAGATCCGGAGGGACGCCAGCAGCCGGGGCTGCACCCGTGTTACCGCCTCCCAGCATCGCCCCCATCCCTGCCTCTAGGAGGAGCAGAAAGTGGGGGGCTGCGGGTCGGAAGCCCCTGCTAGCCCAGCGCCCTGGTGGTCGGGAAGCGAGAAGCGCCGCGGAACGCGGAGATGGCCGATGAGGTTGACTGGCTGGACTTGCCCGGCCGGTGGACCTACGGAGTTGACCGCGGTGGGAGAATCTTCTTCATCAAGTATGTTGTCTGTCTCGTTTTTTTCATTTTTTTTCTTGAAAGTTGCCCAACTTGAAAGGCGGCAGGGCTGGGGGCTGGCTGGCGAAGGTGGGGGGGACTCGTGAGCTGGAACAACAGGCATGACTAATAAGTTTATCACCATGCCTGTTTGAATGGGTCTCCCGCCTTTTCCTCATTGGGTCAAAGTCCAGCACAGGCCAGCATTCCTGCAGTCTGGAAGGGTAGGGCCACCCAGGGCAGGTGCTGGCCACCCCCACCCCGTGACAGGCAGGAATGGGGGCCCTGAGGAGACTGACTAGACCCAGGCCCCAGACTGCGTTTCTTTCCTTTCCCACCAGTCTACTGAAAGGGCCAGGCGTGACTTCTTTCTTCTTTCTTGTGTCCCCCCTCCCCCCTTCCTAAGGAAAGGCTTGGGCTAAGTACCAGCACAAAATAGCAGGAGACCCTGCCTCTACTCCCCAGTTCCTGGCATTTCCTCACCCCAGGACTCAGTGTTCCCACCCACAGCCTCTCCCCTTTCTTGCTTCTTTATGGGGCTGTGATCAAAGAGAAGGGGAAGATGCTCACAGTACATTCAGCATTCTTTAAAGAGAGGGAGCCTTTGCTGCTCTCAGTAATATATATTAGCACTGTTATATTAATTTCATAAACCAAAATGGCTCTGGCATAATCTCATTATAACAGAGTGGCCCCGCTGGCACTATTTTGGCCCGCTCCTACCGTAGTCATCTCTTGCCAGGATAGAAATCTCCCGATAATATGGCAAGTCTACAAGAGGTTGGAGAGAAAGGCCTGGGCTAGAAAGAGTGTCCTGGGAGTCATTGTGTAGAGGTGGAACCATTCAGAAGTGTGTGAGGGAGAAGACAGGAGGGTACCCAGGCAGCGCCAGCATTTAAGGAAAGTGTAGAGTAAGAGAGGATGGAGAAGAAGATCCGGGGGTCACAGAGGTAAACAACAGGTCAGGGAAAGGTGCTGCCCTAGACAGGTGAGGAAGAAGGATGCTAGGAAGGAAGGAAGTGTCAAATGAGCTTAAGACTAGAAAGTGTCTACTGGATTTAGGAACGGGGTAGGGGTGGGGTCTTTAATGACCTCTCAGAAAGTGATTTTAGGGGAGGGCTGGGAACAGAAACTAGGTTGCAAAGAATTGATCATTGAGAGGCTAGGAAGTAAGGACAGCTAGAAGGGATTAATTTCCAAGAGGTATGTTTGGTGGCTAAACCGGCTGGAAGGGGGGGGGTGGCATTAAGAGGGAGGCAGAGGGTCAGACTGTGAAAGACCTGAGAGCTAAAGGGATGGACCTGACAGGGAGAAGAAAGTTGAAGATACCAGTCTTGTATGCTCAATAGAATAAGATTCTGTAAAAGATGGGAGAGGTTGGAGACTACAACCCAGGCAGAGAGATAAGCCTTAATGAGAGCGGGCCACCTCTTCTTCAATGTATAATAGATGCAAGTATGAAACGATGGGGTGGAACATGGTTAAGTTTGCGTGGTTGGGTGCATTGGGGAGGCTCCTGCCTAATGCTTTCTATTTTTTTCTTGAATTATGAGATAAGATTATCCTTTGAGAAGCCTATGTCGGGGGTGAGGAGGAAAGGCAGGCATGAGACTTGAGTTTGGTGGGAAAGCCTTAGAACATTGCAATGGCAAGTGAGCTTTACACGCCAACGATCTAGGTGGCGTGGAGGGCTCAGCTAAGCTTAGGGACTGTGGATTTATAGTGACATCAGTCTTCCCAGTGCTACAGTTTCCTTATTAGCCCAAATCTGGAGTGGAGACAGCCTGTGACTGCATTGTTCTGGGCCAGGGGCTAAGTGGAAGAACAAGGGGAAGAGAAAGTGGAGGGTGGAGGGTGTGCTGGGGCTGTGCCCACCCTGGTGACCCCGTGATTATCCATGATATCTAGGCTGGGCAGAGATAGACACGAAACCTGAGTGTGAGAGGAGGAGAGGCATCAGAGGCCAGAAAATCTCAGGGCTGGTAGAGAGGAGGTATAAGAATGAATTTCCTCTCACACGTACAGTTCTGGCTGGATTTCCCCTTCCTTAGCCTTCTCTCCCGATTGCCTCTCGGGACCAAAGTCCAGCCCCGGGGTCATCTCTGATGGTACACAATGGCTCCAGGGCCCTGGGGACACCAGAATAGTGACTTTGTTTCTTCTCTCCTGTCCTCATCAGAGGGGTGGGTCACCTGGGAAATCTCTTCCTGCAGCAGGTGTCCAAACTTAATGGAAAAATTAGTGGACTCAAGAGAAAAGAAAGCCTATGTCTACACAAAGACTTGGACATGAATGTTCATAGCAGCTTTATTTGTAATGGCCCCAAACTGAAAACATCCCAATGTCCATCAACAGGTGAGTGGATGAACACACTGTGGTATATCCTACAATGGAATACTACTCAGTAATGAAATGGAATGAACTATTAACACATGCTATCACATGGGAAGAAGGAAGGAAGGAAAGAAAGAAGAAAAGGAAAGAAGGAAGGAAGGAAGGAAGGAAGGAAGGAAGGAAGGAAGGAAGGAAGGAGTCAGAATAAAGAAGTCGATCTTATATGATTTATTTATAGAAAACTCTAGAAACTCTAGAAAATGCAAACTAATCTACAATAACAGGAAACAGATTGGTTGTTGCTGGGGGGAGGGTGAGGATAGCAAGAGCTGGCAGAAGGGGAGAGAGGAATTACAAACGGGCATAAAGAAAATTTGGGGGAATTCACTTCTTGATTTTTGTGGTAGTTTCACAGGTATATACATATGTTAAAACTTTACATTAAATTGTACATTTTAACTATGTGCAGTTTTTTGTATATCTTACTTCAATCAAAAATTAGTGGAGCCCTTTTAGTGGAGTTTGTTACATTAATTATACCTTAAAAGCATTGAGTGGAGACCTGTCCTGGGCCCCAAGCCCTCCCCGCCACCCCCCAAGCCTGGATGATAACAGGTGATCTGAGAGTTCTCTCTTCCACGTACATGGATTGGCCAAGAAGTTCAGGTGTTTCATTCTGGGTCACAGCTGGCTCTGGAAAAATTGTGTCACTTGGTTGGTGCAGGCTGAGCAATAGCGATGGGCTCATCTGCAGTTAGAGCTGGAACCCAGAGGATCTGCATTATCGGGGAGCCCATCTTGCTGGGAGTAAGATATTAGAAAAAGCTCGGGTTTTAGGGGGTACAGATTTGGGTTTGAATCTTGGCTTCATCTCAGGTTGAGTGACTCTGGGCCGATGACTTCCCCTCTCTGAACCTCATATTCATCGTCTGTAAAATTCCTAATGCGAGGGAATGTTGGGAATAAAAATATACAGCATCGTAGACACCCAAGCACTGTCAGTTCACCTGGCCTCCTCCTTTCTTATCCATTGAGAAGCTGTGACTGAAAGACCTGTTCTTCCCATGTGACTTCACTATCACCTCAGATGTCACCTCTTTAGTGATGACCTCATGCTGTTTTCCTTCCCCAACTTCTTCCCAGTTAGCACCCCCTCTTCTGTGATGGTATAACCTTCTTTGTGCACAGCTGTAATAAGGACTATACTTTCAATCACATCATATTGCAACTACCTTTTTATTTCATTTTTAAAAATTGAGGTACAATTGACGTAAAACATTATATACGCGATTATCTTTTTATATGTCTGTTTCCCCAGTGAATTATAAATTCCTCGAGGTCAGGGATCAGATATTATTTCTCTCTGAATCCTCAGAGACTGTTGAGGAAATGCTTCATGAGTGTGAATGAATGAATGGCAACGTGGATGCCCCCATCTCAGGCGTCTGGGATTGGACAATGAGTGTTGAAGTGACTTTGGAGATGGGTGTCCTGCTCAGGGAAGCCTCTCTTGTATCTGACACTTTCTTATTGGTCTTCTGTAGTGATGAGGAAAAGTCCACCAGCTGGGTTCACCCTGGTACAGAATCACCCATCCAGAGTGGATATTGCTTCAGCCCAGGTAAGGAGCTCGTCTGTCCCTGCCTTTGCAATCGAAGAGGAAGAAATGGCTTGAGGTGGCAGTAAGACTTTGCTTCTGACTTTTCCTTTCTCCACGGATAAACTCAGCTGATCATTAAGCTCATCATCTGGGGGATATTGAAAGAGGGTTGATGCTCCCCCTCAGGTCTTTTAAAGCCTCCAGCTCTATAATTAGTATCTGGGACAGACCTTTAAGGACAAAGATTTTACTTCTCTCTCATCCCTCTACCCAATCAGAAAGTTTCCTCCATCTTGAGAGCTCCTGAAGCTGGCCCCCAGTGCTGTACCAAAGAACTTTATGCCATGATTGGACACGTTCTCTCTCTGTACTGCCCAGTGTAGTTTCCATTAGCCACATGTAGCTACTGAGCAATTGAAATGTGATTAGTGTGACTGAGGAACTGAATTTTAAATTTTAATTAAGTTAAAATTAAAAGCCCCACCTGACTAGTAGGCACTCCTTCATGTTGGGGAAACATGAAAGAAAATGGGACAGGACCAACATGGATTGCTTACTATGGAGAAGGCTCCATTGCTAGCCCTCAGGGACTTCCTAGGCAGGTGGGAAAGGTGGGACACATACAGGCAAAGAAGAAGATTTCAGTCTAATTGTAGAGATGGAGACACCAAATATCAGAAGGCTTAAGGTACTTCACGTGAACAGCTGATCGTCCATTTCCAGATGCCACCATAGACCCACCCCCATGACCCTCCAGCCTTACACCTGACCACAGAGCAGGCCTGTATTTCCAGGAGTCTGGGTCACTCGGGCCCAGCTGGCACTGCTGCACACCCCGGGTTACGGTGTTGACTTGCCCAGAACCTACTTTCTTTTAGATTCCAGGCTGGAATCATTGTGTTTTTAGAGCTGGAAGGCACATCAGAGATTCTAGGGTCCAAGTCTTTCATTTTAAAGGTAGGAAAATTGAAGAGCAGAGAGGAAGTCCTTGGCTCAAGGCCACTCAGCTAATAAGTAAAGAGGTATCGGGGTGAAATGCAGTAAGTTCTAGTAGCAGAGAGACCTGAGCCCACTTCTTTGCTCTAGTTTTTATTAGTGTGGTCTTGAGGAGGTGGAAGGACTCAGTTTCTTCACCTGTAGAATGCAGAAAGGATTAGGAACCTCAAAAAGTTGTAGCACAGAGTATGCGAGAAAGTTACTATCAGCAGAGGTGATTGCTGTTGTTCTTGTCACTGTTATATTTCTGGTGGAAAACTGAGACCTCCTGACCCCAAGGCAGGGCTATTTCCTTCTTCAATGTTACAGTTGTTGACAGTTTGAGTCCCTCCATTTCATCATGGCCCTAGGTAGGACTGGAAGAAGAAGAAAAGCCTGTGAGCCAATTCTTTTGTTTTTGGCTGCAGCCAACTTGTTGTCCGAGGCTGGGAATGGGTTAAGATGCCCCTGAAGCTTGCTCGGAGGGCAGCTGTCTCAGTGGGCACTTCGCCTGGACAAGAATATAAGCACTCTTGGTGTTGCCCAAGCAGAGAGGGCAGTGTGGAGGGAAGTTGCTAGAAAAGGGAGGACACGTAACCCATGCTGGCCTCTTTCCCAGGCACATCACAGTAGCAGGATTTTTTATGGTTCTGACCCAATGGGGATCCCTCTACTTGGGGAGGCTGCCAACCCACACCCTTCTGAATGGGAACGTCCTCCCGCAGGGACAGAGGGGAACAAGTAGCATTTATGGAGCAGCACAGAGGAAAGAATATGAGCTTTGGAGGCAGCACACCAGACTCACATCCCGGCTCAGACACTTCCTGTGTGACCTCAAGCAAGTTGATTAACCTCTCTGGGCCTCAGTTTCCTTATCTGTAAAAATGTTTGGGCTGAGGCCTGTTATATAATGTTGCGGTGCAAATTAAATGTGCTAGTAGTGGTGAGATGTGTAGCTTAGAGGAAGGAAGCACTGGTTAAGTGATAGTTGGTGTTATTATTTCTATGGGCTTTGTCCTGAGAGGGGAGGTGGGCCCGCTGGCTGCACTGCTGTGTTGAAGCAGCAGCATGGCCATCAGCAGCAACTATCGAAATAGACCCTTGATAAATCGGGGTGAGTAAAATGAGTGAATAAAAACTGGGCTCGCCTCTATGGAACCCAGCTGATAATATGGCTGGAGAGATTCAGGCCAACAGTGACTAGCTATATTTTTAAAACCACATACACAAGGTGAGCATTTGGACCAGAAAGGCGTCACTGACTGTCAAGAGAACCCGCACCTGCTTTCCAATATGTTAGCAAGGGGGCTCTTGCACCCCAAAATGAATGATCTCCCCCAGAGCCTTGCCTGTTCCCACCTCTGACAGTGGATTCCCTTGGATTTCTCAAAAGACTCCTCCACCTCTGTACGGGTTGGAGGAATCCTGTTTGCTGGGGAGACAGGACGCTGCCAGGGGGGCTGTTTGGGGAAGTCAGACGGGGTGAGATAGAAACTAACATGGCGCACTCGTGAGAAGTACGCACTGCCTCTGGAGTGGTCCAGCGGTGCTTGCACCCACTGATGGGGACTGCTCAGGCACCTCTGGGTCAAGGCCACCTTCCTCAGCTATTCTGCTCTTGCTTTCTTGGTGGGTCTATGATTCTCCATTCTGAGCATTTCCATGGATAATTTTTTTCAGAGGTGCTATTAAAAATTTGTTTAAAAGTCTGCTTTCCCAGGACTGACTTCCTAGATCCTCAGTGTCTTGTCTTCAGCCGCAGAATCTGGAGGTAATCACACTGGCTTAGGTGCTTATTATCTGAGAGGTCTGGGGCAAGTGACCCATCATTGGCTCCAGCTTCTGCTGCTGTGATATAAGGGGACTATGGGATGACCCGGAGGAGCGTTCCAGGGCCACCATCTGTGTTCACTGCTGTATCCCTGGGGGCTGGCACAGAACCCCGCACAGAGTAGATGCTCAATAAAACTTTGTTGACGGAATGAATGAACCCTGTGGGGCTATAATTCATTTGGTCACTTCTTCACTGCGCCTTGATAGGGAATGTCTCATTCACTGCCACCTCTCTTAATATTTACTGGAAACAAAGACTGATAAGAATAATGGACAAAAGAGGGTGAAATGGTTGGTTTCAGCACTGTTGGCTTATCTGTGAATTTTCCTAGTTCTTCCAGCTCCCATCCTTCCTGAGTACAGATCGGGCTTGAGGGCCTGAAAAGGAAGGGAGGGTGATTTTATGATTTTGCTTCCTCACAGGTTTGCCCAAGGGCTGGGAGATGGATTGCACCCGGGAAGGAGCTGTGTATTTCATCAAGTGAGTAAGATGGACTTTCCTTCTGGTCTCCTTGTTGGTCCTGCTTTTGTGTTTGTCACTGATGCCTCCTTGAGAGGGGAGAAGGTTCAAGGGTCTGCTTTTTCACTGAAGGCCTTGCTGAGGTCTCTGAATGGCCAGGAGGTGTCAAGGCTTCCAAGTGAGTTGCAGATAAAGCCAGGAGTCTCTCTCTCTCTCTCTCGCTTTGCCTCTCTCTTTCTCTCTCTCTCTGTGTTTATGTTGGCCTAGGAGCCAGTGTCAATCGTGGGAAGTTTTCTAAGGTGGGGTGGGGTGGGTGGAGCATTGGGCTCGGCTGTGCAGGTGGGAGGGAGATGGCTAACGAAGTAGAGGAGAGAGGTTCTTCTAGACACACAGGACAAAGGTTGAAAGGAAGGAGATGGAGCATTGGGTGCCATGAGCCAGTTGGAGGGAAGGTGTGAGTGGAGTGCACAAACAGGCAGGTTGGGTGGTGACAAGGCTGCCTCTGTCACTCCTGCTCTTCTGGACGGGGGCATTGTGGTCCGGGGCTGGCAGGTGCGTGCCTGGTGCACATTTTTCTCTCGGGGGTTGGTCAGGCCCCTCTGTGGGCTGGGGTAGCTCATGCTCTCAGCAGCTCAAGGTGCTACCGTGGATGTAACCGTGGAAGCAGCTCTTTGGGTTGGGGTGCTCCACATCCATCCGATTGGACTCATTCCCGTGGGCCTTGTCCTGGATCTCTCCATTTCCCAGCCAGGCTGGGTCCTGGCTTTGTTCCCGTGGGTGAGGCTCGGCGTGCTCAGGCCTGTGGGCCTCCCCGCCTGGTCTGGCCTCCGATTCTGCAGAGCTGGTTGAGAGGGCGGCTGCCCAGAGGGAGCCCCCACCCAGCCAGGGGAGGGAGGACTCTCTTCTCCTCTCCTGTCCCTCCTTTTTTTTCTTTGAAATCTTCATCCATCTTTACCACAAGAAGTCACCTTTCCATTTCCGCCTCAAGACCAGCCAGCACTTACATCAGTTTGGCTGTTAATCAGATTCTTAAAACAAAAACATTTGACAAATTATCTGTTTTGGAAATTGCTCTGATATCACATGGTTGCTACAGCCTGAGCGTTCCCTGAAATTGAACCCAAATCTTTCTCGCTTCAGTTAAGACTTTTCTCCTTTGTTCCCTGAAGATACCATCTTATTATTCCTTTCTGTACATTTGGTTCCTGAGATAGTTGACTAGACGCTTTAACATGTATCACCTCTTCTCATCCGTCAGTAAAAACTTATCACCTGCTATGGTCTGGCCCTGTCCACTTCCTTCACCTCATTCCTCATAGCTGGCCCCTATGCGATTTTCACGTGTCTTTTCGTCCATCATGCCAGCTTTGCCTGGGAGCACTTTCCTCCTATTTTTGCACATTTGACTCCTACTTCTCATTTAGCTCAAGCGTCATCTTCCCAGAGGGACCTTTCCCGACCACCCCTCTGAAAATCCCCCCCAACACACACTCTTCCTTAGTGCCTCTTATTTCTCTTCATAGCGCCTACCACTACCTGAACGTTTTTTGTTTATGTATTTGTTTACTTGTTTATCGCTAGTGTTCCCCCACTGCCATGTCAGCCCCGAGAGCAGATTCTGGCTATTTTGTGTTCCTCTCTGTCCTAGAAGCTTCCTGGCACATGATAGGAACCCAATATTTGCTGAAATAAATGAATGAAAATTGGGAGATAACAACAGAGGCATAATTAACTCCTGCTTTGGCTCTCAGCCAGCCCAAACTATTCTCCTGAGTTCCCCCAGTTCAGCATGTCCAGTCCTGAACTCATCGCCAACACCTGTTCCATTTTTGTCAGAGGTGCTACCAAAGGGTCAGAGACAGCCTCAAGGCCCTCCTTCACAGGGCCTGTCAGTTCTCCTCCTAAATAACTCTCAACCAACCCCCTTCTTATCATCCCGTGGCCACTACCTGAGATCATGCCCACATGGGCTCTCACCTGGATCACCTAGCAGATTTCCAACTGATCTTTCTGCCCCCAGGCCACACTGCTGCAAGAATGCTTTGTTCTACAATGAAAATTTGGTCATATCGTTCTCCGTTAAGAATCTTTCATGCTGCCCATCAGTTATAGGATAAACTCAGGCACTTGAAAGGGCTTTGTAATCTGGCTCCTACCTCCTTACCCCAGTCTTGCCTTCCACACTCCCCAGTTTGCCAGACCACATTGCTGTGGGGTTCCCTCAACACTCGACCGCCCTGCCATGTCTCCTAGCCTTTGCAAGTGCTAATCTCTCCTCTAACATGGCTTGTGTCCACCTGTGAACACTTGCTCTTGCTTCAGGACTCTGCTCATTACATCACTTCTTCAGGGAAGCCCACCTGTATTATAATTGCTTGTTTATACATTGTCATTTTCGCTAGATCAGTGGTTCACAAACTTGAGTTTGCATCAAAATCACCGGGAGGGCTTGTTCAAACAGATTGCTTGGCCCCACCCCTCGAGTTTCTGATTCAGAGAGTCTGAGAATTTGCATTTTATAACAGGTTCCCAGGTTATGCTGATGCCGCTGGTCCACGGACCCCACTTAGAGAACTCATGGACTAGATTGAAAGCACATCAAGGGCAGGGGTGAACACAGGGTAGCCAGAAAGCCTGGAAACATAGATGATGTTATTTCATTAGGTAGTGTAACAAAATGTCAGCAAGCCATCTACTATGCATTTGTGTCTATTCCCAGACTTGTTGGCCATTCCACACATCAGGAGCAGCAGTGGACACCCTAAGAGCTGAGCGCTTCACTACATGATCTCATTCAATCCTCACCACAGCTTTATAAGGGCCATGCTATCACCCCTAGCTGTTTGAGCAAGTAAACTTAGTAAATAACGTGTTCGGTGTCATGAAACTGGTAGAAAGCGAAGCTGGGATGCAGTCCCATGTCTGCCTGATTTCACAGATGTGCCCTTGGCATAATGCTGTGGCTGCCTCCAGCATCCGTGTGCCTGACTCAGACAGGGGGGTGCTCAATAAACTCCGAATGAGTGAGGGAATGAATGGCCCGCTCTCCTTATTTTCATAGTTCCCTGAAAAATCAATTCCCTACAAAGGTTTATGACATTTGGTTGGCAGATCCGTTAGAAACTCTGAGGACCCCAGACATAGATCCCAAGAGGAAATTATAAAAGTCAGATATACAGACAACTAGGGAAGCTATTTTTTTTCTTCTAGTATGGATGAGTCAAATTTCAACAAGCAAACATGAACATTTGCCCAGGATCAGACAAATATAATTGTGTGTCAATAAGCCCTTCACTTCATGGTACTTGGGAGGTGATTCTCATGGTATCCACAACTGATGTCATTGCTTAAGCGTGCCTGAGGTTTAAAAAGTGTCATTTACCAGGAAAAGTGGTGCAGGGAGAAGAGAAAAAGCAAAGGGTTAAAAAGTGGGCAAAACCCATTGCAAGCCTTATGCCTGTGCCACACAAATCCACAAGAGGGCATTAAAGCACACACAATAGGCCCCACTAAGGCTTTAACGGCTCAGATTCACCCCTCAGGCTCATAGGGCAGGCTGCCCCCCCCCCCCCCCGAGCCAATAGGGCCATCTTGACCATCTTCTGTCACATCTCAACCACTATGGTTCTGGTAAGCTGCTTTCAAAGCTTAAACACCTGGCTGTGTAACACTCATCCTTGATTTCCTCTGGCCCCCGACCCCCTCCCCTGCCTCCTGCTGAAGCAGCCAGCTACGGAGCTTGCCAACTCTGTCTCCCGTAGTGCCTCTCTCTTTCTCCAAACCTGGCAGGGAGGGAGACGTGGCAGAGCACTTTCTGCAGGGCCACACCCCTGCTAACCCTTGTTCCCAATCTGGGCCCCTGCTGTTCCTCCCATGTAGGTGCGGTGCCCCCATGGGCCATGCCAACCTGGCTGGGCACCTCCTCCAGCCCAGGGTGCCCCACCCAGGCACTGTCATTTCTTCCCTGTTCTGGTCTGAACACTTCCTCCAAGAAGGTTCCAGAATGAGCAGTCACCCCATCCGCGCCCCTGGCTCATCCATGAGCTGCTTGCTCGGTGCTGCTCGGGGTGGGGGTGGGGGTTTGCAGGAGCCAGGGGCGCAGAAACCCGGGGCTCTGTCCCCAGGTGCCTGTGGGCTGAGTTCCTGTGAGTCCTCGATATACACACCCCAGCCTCTGGGACCTCAGAGGCAGCGGTGCCCTGGGAAGTGCTGTGGAACCACCAAGAGCTGTTCTGTTGTCTCCAGAGGGCAGATGGGACAAAGGAGAGAGGTCACAGGACAGCAGACCTGGCAATCAGTGCCCGGACTAGCTCTGCCCTCAGAGAGGCAAATAACGCCCTGAACTGTAAAGAATGAGACAGATGAGGAGAAAAGATAGTGAGTGGTATGGGGCTCAGAGGAGAGAAACCCCATTTGCAGATGAAGAAAACTGAGGCTCAGCACTCAAGTAACTTATTCAAAGTTGCTCAGCTGGTTAGGGATGGAGCTGGAGTTCAAACTCAGGCAGGTCCTCAAAGGTAATTCATCACGTGGGGCTCCCTTTTATGATCCCCAGTTGGACCATTCTGGGAGAGAGAGAGAGAGAGCCATGTGGACATGGCCTGGGTGAGGAATGGGCAGGGCATGCTTGAGGGGCAGCAAGTCAATCAAGCCAGCGGCCCCTAAGACCATGTGGCGGGAGCAGTGGAGACGCCCAAAAGGCAGGGAGGCCCTGAGTGTTGGCAGTTGTGTACTTTCTCCTCTGAGCACTGGGGCTGTGGATTCTAGAGCAGAGAATGGGCAGAGCCACAGAGGCCCTTTCTTGGGAACCTTTCCTCCTTTACGTGCCTCCTCGCATCCGCCCCACTTGAGCCACTCTGACAAGTCTTGCTTCTCTGCTGGCAGAAAACAGAGAATTTAAATTTGGTGAAGGGAGTCTATTTTCTCTGCTCCACCTCACCCATCCTTGTTGGAACTCTAAGACCCTCCTGTTACAATATCTCCCCCACTTTGTTCCCCAGAACGAAGGCACTGCCCCCCGC